TTTTGGGTGGGGGGTCGCCGACCAGGTGAGAAATAAGAGGGACCCTTTAAAAGGGGATGAAGGGTGATTTTAGGGAGGGCGGTCAAGGAGACGCCAAAGTGGAACAAGTGAGCGACCTCCAAAAAAATAAAAAATTTAATAAAGTTGATCCCACAGGAGGGAGGCCTACTTTGGAAGCCCCGTGAAGGCGCTGAACCCCCCAAAAAAGGGATTGGGGCCTCTTTTTTGGACGCGACACTAAACTAATCAAGCGCGCGCACACATGCACACACACGCACACTCATACAGGCTGTAGAAACTTTACGAGCTTGTACATGGACCAACATGCGGTTCTGAAAAATGGGCCACCTCAACAAACAAGCTGCGACCACTCCGTTGTCACTTTTGCCCCTTCCCCCCCCCAAAAAAGTGACCCCCCCCCAAATACCACCTTAAATCATAAATGCTATTGAACTCTATGGGTGTGAAACTGCCATTTTGAAATGAAGCCCACCATTGACGCCCCTCACCACATGTCCAAATAATCCATCCGAGAAAAGGGCACGCTGGAGAAGATGCGGATCAAAGCACAGCCTGCTTAGTTGCTTGGCCTTCCTCCTAAAATTCTGGTCCCCGGTTTCCATGCGGGCTCCTGGAGGGGCGCATCCAGCCGGAAAGCAGGCCGGGCATCGGCGCACATGCGGCCGGCCGACGGAGCGCGGAGGCGGCGGTGGAGGTGGAGGAGGAGACGGTGGAGGGTGAGCGGGACGACGCGTGAGCCTTGCCGCATCCAGAAGATCCTCAGTCGGTCACCGCACGACGGCGCGTCCCGCTCAAAATCATCCGGCGGCTTTTTTTCTCCACCCTGGCGATTTATTTATTGTTATTATTATTTTTTTTTAATCTCGCTCCAGCGACACGTCAATCCGCGGTTTTCTCGCTCGTCTTCTTGCCGGAGCCGAGAGAAGAAGAAGAAGAGGAGGAGGAGGAGGAGGAGGAGGAGGATGCTTAGAAGCTGAGGATGATAAAATAAAATAAAATAATTCGACACAAGCAAAGAGGAGGAGGAGCAGGAGGAGGCTGGCGCTTCATAAATAAAAATGTCCTTTTCAACAAGTCAGGAACTGTAAAATGACATTTCGTCACGTTTACCAGCATCTTCACATTAAGTAATAAATGTTATCTAAAAAACCAAGTACCGTTTTTTTTCTTGTCAAAAAAGTGGGAAGCCACGTTTTTGTGCGTTTCGGCATCCCGAAATGTTGGCACCCTTCTGTTGGCCGACGCGCAGTCAGAGGGTACCTCAAGATGAAAAGTCAGCGCACGATTGATGACATGAAGCCCTTCTTTGCCACTTTTTGGCAACACTTATTTTTGTTGTGAGGGGTGCTGAAATCACGCGTCCATTCTGTGCCACATATAAGCACCTTTTTGGTTGGCGTTCCCAAGCACAGTGGTCGTCGGTGTGCCATTTGGTGCAGTCCTTTTATTGTCGTGAACAGGAAGAAAGTAACAGCTCCGCACTGGAGCACTTTTTGGCAACCCGCTATTTCGACACATGATCGTGGCTTGCTTGCTTGCTTATGAGGGGACCGACTTTGTGCTGCTTCTCTGCTGTAATTAGAAGTCCCAGAAACCAGATCGACACGGCGCCACTTCTTGGAACCCAACTCAGTCGTGTTCGCGTGTTCCCTGCTGCCTCCTCGCGGTGCTGAAACGGACAGCTCCCTTCGTGTCTTGCCTTGGGATTGGTTGCGATCGTGCGGTCACATGACAGAGTGCACACACCACGTCAAGCCGGGCAGCGCGGCGCAGTGTGGCGAACTGTGGCTGGCTGGCCCGCAGCGACGCTCCATTACACCGCACTGCACACTGCACACTGCACTGCACACACTTTGTATGTTCTCTGCTCACATTGTGACACACATGAAGGCGGATGCTAATGGCCGGCGGGCGCTTGTTGTCGTTTTCGTCATCTTTGTGTTGCTTTGTGTCATCCCACTGGCCTGCAAGCAACTCAGGGTTCACTTTCTACTATCTATCTAGCTAGCTAGCTAGATCTCCATCCAATGTACGCGCTAATAGCTAGTCCAGCTACTATACATCAAAGATAAATTGTACAAAAACAACAAGGAAACATTTCGTTGTCAGCGAGCATGAAGTCAAAGAAAATTTACAGCCTCCAATGAACACGTCAACAGCTTTAAGCAAACGTTCAAGACAGTTTAGCCATCGTTCAACTCAACACACATGCATAAACATGATTTTAGAGTGCATGATAATTTAGCCTGAAATGAAAATGCTTTTGCAAACAGCCAAGACTCTTTAGTCTTCAGTGAAGGTGGATTTGGCAAACGTCAAAGACAATTTGAAGTCTTTATGATACAAGTTTTTACAAACATCAAAGACAATGGTGAGTGATTCTGATTATGAAGTACAGGTAAGTTGATTTCGTAAAAGTCAACGTCAATAAACAGAAAAAAATGATTGCAAATACTTGAGAATTTAGTCTTTGAGCCTGAAAAAAAGGAAATGAGAAACTGTTTGCAATTGCCTTACCCGGTAAACAAAGAATAATTTAAAAAGAAAGTAAAAAAAACGTCCAGAGAGTTTTAAAAATTCAAACATCAAACTAAACATCAAAGATCCAACCTTGTGCTTTTGTAACATCAACGGGAACTTGTTCATTCGTCGCTCAATTTAGATGGCTGTCTTAGTGTTTTGTGCTGTGCGCATTTTTTGTTCACATCATATTGAATTCAAGGTCTTTATTGAACATTGGCTGACTATTTAAAATGAATGAGAAAATGAAGTATTTAGCATGAGTGTCTTTGAAGCTACTCTGTTATCTGCACTCCAGTGAGAGTGAATTCTCTGACTGGATGCACTGTGACGAGGCTGCGAGTTGACCTCCCACGCACACACATACACACACACACACACACACACACACACACACACACACACACACACACACACACACACACACACACACATGCAGCGTTAGCCATAGCTGTTAGCTGTGGGCTACGCGGCGCGCTACAAAGACTAGCGCGCATCCTACACAGCATTTGAAAGCTTTTTGTGCTTCAAAAGCTCCACTCTCCACTTTTAGCCTGGAGAGGCAGCGTTTAAACTCCAGCAGTTGACGTCCCACACGCCCGCCCAGGCCGTCGAATGTAGCCTCATCACACGCAACAAAAGCAGAGTGAAGGGAGCTCAGGAAAATGAGAAGATTCAGAAGCGATAGAAAAGTAGCATCATTTTTGCTCAACAGTTAAAAGTATTACTTCTTTTTTCTTTTTGGTACATTCCAAAAAATGACAGATTTCAGAGCACAGTAACACTCCACTATGAACACATCATGCTAGCAAAACATAGCAGCCGAGGCTAAAGTCAGTGCAGTGTGGATGCTAGCTTAGTATTGCTATCGCTGTTGTTTTTGTGAAGCCGGACGTGTGTACCAGAGTTCCTAAAGGATCTTAAAAAGTCATAAAAGCATTTATGAATTTGGAAATGCAACTTCTCTGTGTCCCATTTGTCCTCAAAAATGTCATTTGGCATTTTGATGAAATAATGTAGCCCTAAATAAACAGGACAGAGGAACTAATCGTTGAGAACTGAATGCAGAGCTGCCATGGTCAAAATACAATGAGAGTTCATGGACGTGCTACAACACCACCACACAGACGCAGATTTTTACGTTTCATATTTGAAATATGGGGAAATGTAAATTAAATGAAGCTATAGTTAGAGAAAACCGACCTCTCTGACGACACATTTCCATCATGTCACGCCATGAAGAACGTCCATGTTTTAGAAGGGGCGTCGTTCTGGTCAGAGAGGCGCAAGGAGGATTAGTGAAATCTTGCGAGCAGTTTTAACAAATTCAAAACTCCCCCTATAAGTTTGGGCGGTTCGATGGGGGGCTGGGTTTATGTTAAGAGTTCGTTTTAGTATTCGACCTGGGATTAGGGTTCAGGATTAGGCTAGGTTTTTGGAAGTAGTTTGAAAATTCGGGTTAGGATTAGCAGATGGGCTCCGGTTTGATTGGTCCAAACGCAGAGTTCGTATTGACTTGCGTCGTAGGGATTCAGGGTAAAGACAACAGCCTACAGTATGCGGTGGCCACGCTTTGGGATGTCTCTGCAAAGGTTACGCCCATTTGTTATGATATTGCGACATCAATAATCCAGTGCGGTTGATCCCGATTGGCGCTGGCTCTCGCTGCTGTCCGCTGAGCTGAAGTCGTTTGATAGAATGATGAACAGGGAAGGTGGCGGTTCAAGTGGCGATGAAGAAACAGCTCCCTCCTCTTCCTCCTGCGGGGTCTAAAGGACATGTTTAACATTCTCCTCCTGATCCTCCTCCTCCTCCTCATCCCGCCACTTTTTCCTCCCGTGGACACGGGGGCCTCGGAAAAACCTTCCATCATGGCAGCCGCCGCTGCGTCAAAACGCCTCGCGGTTGCGTTCGCTTCTGAAGGTCAAAAACAGGAAGTAACGCACGTAAACAACGTGAAGTCAGTCTGCGGTGCGATGGATGATGACGGATGGATCGTCTCCGTGATGAAATCTGATTGGGGTCCTGAGGACAAATGCAAACGTCGTTTCTCTATTGTTGTCCCGTGCAAAAATATGATTACATGATTTGCATGGATGTGTGGGCTGTATTCACGTTTCACCTTGTGACATGAAAAATGTGGCCCCTGTAGTGACTGATTCAGAACTTTTACATTCAAGACTTGGTAACTGTAGTAACTGATAACACAACTTCAATGTTAAAACCTTGGCCACTGTAGTGACTGATGCTGACTTTGACACGAAAGACGTATGAGAAGAAAACAATAACTGTCAACTGTAGTGACTGTGTTGATGTCCACTGTAGTAACTGATGTGAAAATATGACATCCAAGAGTTTTTTAAATAGCGGTCAGGTCCACTGTAATGACTGATGATCAACTTTAACATCGAGACTTGCAGCTTTTGAATATTGGTCCACTGAATTCTCACTCCCAGGTTTTTCCTTCATAAATAAATAAACCCATCACACACATTTTTTTTTTTTTTTATGAATGAGACCAAGGAATAAATTTGGCTGCGAATGAGACGCAAAAGCAACAAGTTCCCCGGCGGCCCTCCAACGCTTCAGGATGAAACCACACTGCGGAGCGCCACATTCTAAAATTGAGGAAGGGAGGGGGTGGCGAAAGTGGGGACGCTGCAGTCGGATTCAATGTCCTATGCCACGCTGCCTGCACTTAAAGGGCCGGCGGCGCGGGCTGATTAAAATGCAGAGGAGGACGGCTCTGCTGCAAATTGAAAACATATCGATTCTACTCATGCTTGGAGGAAGAGTAGGAGGAAGGAGGAAGAGCTGATGGACAAGCAGAGGGAGGGAAGAGAAGAGGATCAAATCTGCTCAGAAAACAATAAAGAGTTTGCACACACAACGCAATGGGTGGAGGGCCTTGTGGTCACCATGGCAACGCGGTCAGTGCGTGTGCGCGTGTCACGTCCAGCTGTGGTGGTGAGAGGCCGCGGGATGCCGACCAGGGACGACGTACAGATGTGCTGACTGCACAGTTTCCATGGGAACAAGCATCCCCCCCACGGACCCCACACCCGCCTCCTCCACTCACCGCCGCCATCATTGCAAAAAGCAGCCGCTTTAAGCGAAGTACTGTGCATCTTTTTGCATGTGCGTGGCACACTCATGCTGCTTAATTCAACATGGAGGGAATGGGAGGAGGAGTGTGGAGGAGGTAAAGCCAATGTGATCAAACAGAGTGGCTGCACACGTGCCGTAAATCAGTGTGCAGTGTGTGTGTGTGTGTGTGTGTGTGTGTGCGCGCGCGCGCGTGTGTGTATGTGTGTATGTGTGTGTGTGTGAAACGGTCACCAAGTTCCAGAATACTGTCATCTAGTGGCCATTACTGTCATTGCATGTTAAAACTCTCAGTTCGTTTAAAAACAAAACAAAACAAAACCAACCAAACAAAGCAAAAAACAAAACAAAACAAAACAAAAAACAAAACAAAACAAAAACAAAAAAACCAAGACATTATTTTCTTGGATCATTTTTTTTTCAAATTTAGTTTATTTAACATTACAGTGTTGTCATAGATGTTTTGCCATTTTTATGACAGAAAAACTCAACTCAACTCAACTGTATTTATAGAGCACTTTCAAACAGCCATCGCTGCATACAAAGTGCTGTACATGGAGCAATTTAACATATACAATAAACAGTAAAACAAATCGGCAATAAAGACGGTAGAAAGCTCGTCAGATATCATTATTTGATGTATTTTCATTTTGTATCTATTGCACAATATTTTGTCAAGGGGAAATTTGGGAGGAAAATACAACATATTATTTTAATTATAATACTAAAATATATTTTACCCTTCTAGAAGAGGTAGCAGCTATAAGTTCGGGTTCTCGTTGTCTTTTAAATAGAGTTTTCGTTGTCACACGTAGTTCTCATATGAAGCGAAATGTCGTATATGTGGACCATCTGAGGCACGTTGTCCACATGAAATACATTTTATATCATCCAGCTAAAAGACGGAGAAAGTGTCGTCAATGTAAACCCGCTGTCATAATCTATGCAGTCTCGAATGATTCATTTATATTTGTTTTCTAACCATTATGTGCAGGTGGGAGTGGTTTGTCATTAGAGATCAAGTTTTGTTGGCCGATTTTCTTTACTTCACAAATACTTCAAATAACAACCGCGTCTATGAGGACGCGGTTACTTATTAAAAGTCTGACGCTGGCGATTTGCGTCCGATCGACGACAGTTGCCACACTTTACGGTAGCGGCGACGCTCGCAGGTAGTTGTCCACAGCAAGTAAGTGGACACGCATATTAAAAAAAAAACTGCACACATCAAGTATAAACATTTCATCTTAGGTTATGATAAGTATATATTGTTAAATTACGCTCTATCGAAGCTTGTAAGTAGTCCTCGCGGCTAATATTCGCTCAGCTGTCATTTAGACAAAGGAGACGGCGGGGGAGTGACCGACGTTCAAGCTAAATTTAGTGCGCGACATTTTGGAAAGTATTGAACTGTGTTTATTTCCGTTGTAAATTTTAAATATGAAAACGAATGTGCAAGCTCAACGTAACCGCGACAAGTCCCGATAAAATAAAAACATTACGTGCCTGGTTGTGTTTTTTGCCGTTTCAGTAAATCACCTCGCGCTTCGCATACGCAGATTCGCCGCATTCGGGATCCCGACTGCCCATATTAAATAAAAGTTAGGTAAATCATTGCCAGCTTCACACCCGCAGATTCGTCGCCAGCCGGATCGTGATTGTGTTCAACTTAATTTCAAAACGACGATTAATTCAATGACATCGCAGGAATGGAATGTTTTCAAGGCAAACAATACTACCGCATTTTAATACAACTTTTTTTTGAAAAAGGTTGCATTTCTGAATCATTCTCTGCCCAAATACAGCGTTTCCGTGGCCAAATCTGGTGTTTAATGGCAAGTTATGACATTTTGTACCTCAAGATTGTGTGTTTGTGGGGAAAAAAAACAAAAAAACAAGCAAACATTTTTTGTGGTTGTCTTAGCATTTTAATTTCAAGTTGTCATAGTAACGAATGTGCTTGTGTCCTTTCCCAACTAGATATATTTGTGGCATGCGTATTGGGCTTCCCCGACTTGAGCCACTGCTAGGTGGATCTTGCCGAGGTTGGCTTCTGGTTAGTACGCACAAGCTTTATCATGCATACGACCTCTATTGTGTGTGTAATTATGGGTCTTGGGTAACCATGTGCGGAGAAAGCCAGCATCTTCCGCTTGAATTTAGTTAGGACTAGAAGGCCGTGGTCTTTGTTCCTTTCCCCACTGTCGGTCTGAAAAAGTGTTGGATCCTGTGACCTCATTTCCTCCTCTTCCCGGTTAGACGCTCCTGCTGAGTGCGTTTATGTTCCAGCTGCTGAGGAGCGTGGGACCCAGGGTGTTCTCCATGGCTTCCGAGACGTACACGTCGGGCGCACACTCGGCCGCCTTTGTCACCTGCCCCAACGACACGGTGGCCAAAGACTTGGCCAGGTTGTCTTATTATCGTCTGAGTATGTGTGGAGCAGCAGGGACGATTGCTGTCACTTTCAAACGCTTTCGTTTGGATTCGTCGTTTGTCTTTGAGATTGGTGTGCTCGTGGCAGTTTTCGCACCCTCAAGAGCCAAATTCAAATCTTAAAAAAAAAAAAAGAAAAAAAAAATCGAGACAAATTGATTTTCACACCCACCGCCCCCCAAAAAAGAAATTTTGATGTTGATGTTCTGCACTGTAGATTTATTTGAATTTGCCCCAAAATATATATTTTAGACTGGTTTATTAAAAACTTTTGTGTATTTGACTTTTTGGATGTTTCTCAAATATTTTTCATAGTTATAAATTTTAAGTTACAAAAAAAAGTGTTTTGCGAGATTTTTGTAAAACATTTCCTTTCATTAGTTTTTTTTTTTTTTAGATACAGCTTAGATTTAAAATATTTCAGCAGCGTTGGAGAAATTTTCCATTACAATTTCTTTATTATTATTATTATTTTTTTTTAGTTATAAGTCTGAGTGTTTTAAAAAAAATTAATTAGTGCTGACAGCGCCATATAAATGCGAGAATAAAATAATACATTAAAAAAAATTGTTCTTTTTTAATTTTTAAATATATATCACATATATATAGATGATTTTGATTTTATTATTTTATTTTTTTACATTTCCAACAAGAATCACATATACACTAAATATATAATGGATATACTCCTATGTAAAGTTGATTATATACAAAGCTTATTGTATACAAAACATGACAGAATTCGAGTAACTGTAATGCTCTCACCTTTGCGATGGTGTTCATTTGTTTTGTTTTGTGTATGTCCCACAGAGGCATTGTGCAGCGGAAGCTGGCTGCCTGTGTCAACATTGTACCCTCCATCACATCGGTGTAGGTGTCTCACACACACACAAACACACACACACATACGCGTTTGCACGTAGTTTTATGTTGATCACGATGGCAGTACTCGAAAAACAAAGTACTTTTCTCGGTGGTATTTGGTGTCAAACGTTTGAGAACCACCGACACAATTATTGTGAGGATGCTCTTATCCGAGGCCAAAATTTTGCTGACGTTTTTATGGTCAGGTACGAATGGCAGGGGGCCATCCAGGAGGACAACGAGGTTCTGCTGGTGAGTGTCGCTTTCAAAATAGCGGAATCGGCGGGTGGGAGGAAAATGCACCTTGTGGCATTTTGACGCGTGCTTTGCCCCTCATTTAGATGATCAAGACCAGAAGCTCGAAGGTCTCCGCCCTCACCGATTACGTGCGGTAAGTCCGCAATTTGTACGTCGGCGTCCATCAGACTCCACGTTGAATGATTGAAACGTTTGAGTGATTTGACGCCCTTTCCAGTACGAACCACCCCTACGAAGTGGCTGAAGTCATCAGCCTGCCCATCCACCAAGGCAACCCGCCCTACCTCAAGTGGATCGCCGACGTCGTGCCGGAATGAGGATGCTTTCATCACGGACGGGTGATTAGTATGCCGGTTACTCTTCACTGAAAAAAACAAAAAAATCGACATATAAAATACATAATGAACTGGCCGAAGTCATTGTGTGTGGAGTTTACATGTTGGTCTGTAGGGGGCGTCGTCGGTCCTTCGTTTTCAATTGAGTTCCTGGAGCCACTGAAGGGCCATCCTGATTTTATTTTGTACAAATAAACACGGTCTTATAAAATGGCGGCTGGATATGATTTTTACATAACAAAAAAAACAAACAAACTGAAACACATTTGACCAACGTTACATACAGTCCAGATTAAAATAGACAATAAAGTAGCGCAGGTCAAATGGACCCGTTTTCAAACGTAAACAAGAAATGCCATCAAACAATCCATAAATAATACACAGTAAATTGAGGACAAAAAGGAAACAGAATTAGGCCAGCAGACGTTTCATACATTTTCTTGTATATACATTTGATTTTATATACATTTAAAATGTCTTTGATTTGTGGGATTTTTTTTTCCCAGAGGTTGCCCTGGAAAAATAAAAATGCTTCTTTTTAGGATGGTGAAACATGCAGCGGAGTCCTGTGGACTTGGGAGCATTTCGCAAAGAATCAACAGGAGGAGTCAAGACAAAATATCGAAATAGGACACTAAAATCACAGCACGGCACAGCAATGTAGCGACGGACAAACCCGATTGAATGCTTGGCGCGGTTCTGGAAATGACATCACTGCCATAAAAACACCGAAACGAGCAAAATACACTTTTTATCATCTTCAAACCCCCTTTTTCTTGTTGTTCATTCGTATGTTTTACACATGAAACATACATATACATTGAGATTCAAATATTGACAGGAGCCACATTACGACCCGCTCGGCTTGAGCACTTGAGCACCAATGTGCAGTTCGTTGTGTTGAAAGTTAGCGGGATTTTTTTGCGTCAAAAATGGTGGCAAAGTAGGATTTAAAGACAGGGCGACACTTTCAAAGTCTGGTTTCAAGATAGGAATGGGGTATTGAAATCGGGTTTTAAGACAGGGTTTGGTTTTCAACAGAGAAGGCTTCAAATTAGGGTTTCAAATCAGAATTCCAATGACAAATTTGAATTTGAGGACGGGAAAATGGATGCGGTTCAAATTGCGATGATGCACAACGCAGGTTTCAAATGGCAAAGGCTACAATTTGGGGGAAAAACAACAGCTTTGGGCTTTTGAGAGTACGGCTTTGAAAGTAGCCTGGATTTTGGGCTCGACGGCAGAGTTTCCAATGTTGTGAAGGGTACAAAAATAACACGTCATAGAGGAGGTTTGACATGTGAAGATCACGTTGAAAACATGCTCAGGACACGCCAGTCACAAGCAGCTGATTTCCAGCGCTGACTTTCCATCTTGAGACTTTGGCTCTCCCTCCTCTCGTGCTCCTTCTTGCTCCTCCTCCTCCTGCGGAGTCCTCTCTCTACCAGAACCTTCCGCACCTTCTCTCTCGTTTGGCAGGCTCGCTTCCCCGCGGCTACCAGGGCCGCGCACGGCCATGCCGCCCCACTCCTCGGTGGCGCGCCGTTCGTCGGAGTCAGCCCTCTCCTGGCTGCTCACCCGGCGCGAGGCCCGGCACAGAGCCCTGCGGAACCCCCGCTTGAAGTTGTCGGACAGGAAGGCGTAGAGGATGGGGTTGGCGCAGCTGTTGGCGTAGGAAAGCGCCACCACGAAGAAGTAGAGGCCGCGCAGGTCGCCGGGCAGAACCACCAGGAGGTTGACGATGTTGAGGGCGTAGAAGGGGAGCCAGCACAGGACGAACACGGCCACCACCACCACCACCATGCGGGTCACCTTGCGCTCGGAACGACGACGGCGCGATGATGTGGCTCGGGCGCGTTTGCCGACGCTGCGGACCTGAGACGAGGAGGACGTAAGAGAAGTTTGCGGCCGTGGCGACCGGTTCCCTACCTTGATGACGATGAGCAGGTAGCACATGCAGATGATCATCAAGGGGCCGCAGAATCCCACCGCGAAGGTGTACACGATGAAGACCGTCTTCCACAGGTCGGCCGGCTCCGGCCACACGATGCCGCAGTCCCCGTCGCCTCGCCTCACGTCGGCGAACGCCACCACCGGAAGCACCACCACGAAGGAACCCAGCCACAGGGCTGCGCTCACAGCCTTGGCCACCGGGGGGCGCCGCCAGCGCCCGGCCCGCGCCGGCTGCGCCACGGCCAGGTAGCGGTCCACCGACATGACGGCCAGGCAGAAGATGCTGGTGAACTGGTTGATGGCGTCCACCGTCATCACCACCCGGCAGAGGAGCGAGCCGAAGGGCCAGGAGAGGAGCGCGTTTTGGGCCGCCAGGAACGGGAGGCCCAGCATGAAGAGCTCGTCGGCCACGGCCAGGTTGAGGATGTAGATGTTGGTGGCCGACGGTCCTCGGCTGTGGTTGACCACCACGTGGATCACCAGGGTGTTGCCCGCCAGGCCTACGGCGCACACCGCCGCATAGATGAGCGGGATCAAGACCCCCACCGGGCCACCGAGGGGTCCCCCGGACTCCGACGGCTCTTCTTCACCTTCCTCCCCGGTGTAGTTCTGGCTGCTGTTGAACAGGGACGCGGTGGAGGTGGGGCGGAGGTAGCGGCCGGACGAGGGGACGGCGTCCCGGGTAATCGGAAGGGGCTCCATGGGGACGTCACCGGGGACCGTCGGCCGGCATCGGACAACCTGCGTGGGAAGCTTTGCAACTTGGGTTCGCTTTTCAAAGAAAGCTTTCGAGCCGACGTTCCCGTCTGAAAACTGTTTTGTCAAAAACAACCCAAATTGGGATCTGAAAGGGACCCGCCCAACTGCTTGAGTTCTTCCTATGACCCAAGAAGGTGGGTTGAATGAATCACCCACCAAACAACGCCCCCCCCCCCCCAACCCCGGGGGGACCAGGAAGGGGGGGCAGTTTGGAAAA